GAGGCCAGGCTGGTCTACAAAGTGAGTCCAGGACAGCCAGGGCTACCTACACAGAGAAACCCTGTCTGGTAACAAACAAATAAACAAAATATAGAGGTGAGCCACGTGTGGTGTATCATGTTTATAATCCTAACATACGGGAGGCAGAATAGTAGTCTCAGGCTAATCTGGGCTTCTTAGCAAGATGTCTAGGGTGGGAGTTAAGGCAGGGAGGGAGGGAAGAAGAAAGAAGGAAGATGGACGGAGGGTGTTGAAGATAAAGCATTTACCCAGCAAGCTTGAGGACCCTAGCACCCTCCTAAAAGTTGGATATGGTAGCACGTGTCTAGATTCCTAGACAAAATAAGAGGTGGAAAGAGGAGAATTGTGGGAGCTTGAGGAGCTAGGCTGCAGTGAGCAACTCAAACAACCAAGAAAGCCTGTCTCAAAGGTGGAAGGCTAGGGTGGACTCCTGAAGTTGTCCTCTGACCCCATAATGTTCTGTGCAAGCCAGAACCCTCACTCACACATGTGTACACACAGCAGCCACGTACACTTACAATCACAGCTCAGGAACGAAGGAAGGAAAGAAAAAGAGGCAAGGGAGGGCTGCCCAAATCCTTGCCTTGCTCTGAAGACTAGACTTGCTGCACCGCAGTTCATGCGCCCCTGGCCATGTAGAAGCCAAACACTGAGATTTTGCAAGAGGCAGGATCCAGGCTGAGGAGATGGCTCAGTGGTAGAGGGTTTGCCTAGCCCCACACAGCTTGGTTTTTGTAAGTTGCTTTTCCTCAGCCTGGGTTCCTCAGCTGGAAACAGGCAGTTAAGGGCCGAGGCAGGGCTTCTGAGGCAGGGTCTCATGGCTGACCTGACCTGCAAGTGGTATGTTCATGCAGGTGTCTGTACTTGCCCTGAGTGAGGGAGCAGTGAGACTTTGGGGCTCCTGGAAAGAGGGAACAGATGTGAGGATCAGGCAGGGGAATCTCCCAGACTGACTACCCCTGTGCCCCAGGAGCTGGGCTGGAGATGGATCCCCAACCAGCAGCTGCTAGCACTGCGGATCTTCGCCTTCTTGTCCTTTGAAGGCAACCTGTCCCTAGAGCCCTCTCCCAGCTGCACTGTGGTCTCTGAGCCCGGGCCAGCACTTCCCCAGGCTGGAGAACGGCAGAGGCAGAGTCGTTAGGGACACCTGTCTCCGCTCCTCCCACCCCCTGGCGGGAAGCCACCGCTGAGCTGCACCTGGCCACACAGGGCCTGGGAACAGGAGCCCTCAGCACCCAAAGCCATCCCTGGGTCTCTGCACAGGGTCAGGAGCAGGCAGGCAAGTGGCCATTAAAACTGCCCTCCCAGCACAATGGCACAAATGGGTAGAGGCTGGCACAAGAATAAAGAGGAGGAAATAAAGCTGTGAAAGGGTCAGGAGGGGCTAATCTGCAGGTAATCTTGAGCAATTAATTAGTTCTTTGGAAGATCTCTGTGCTTTGCTCTCACTAAAATTTGTCTCTTATTGGGAGAAAAGGTAGAAACAGTGAGATTAAATTAAGCACTCTCAAAAAAAAAAAGACCAATTGTTTTTGCTTTCGTTTTCCTTTCATTTTTTTTTTTTTTTTGAGGCAGGGTCTCACTGCAGTCATGGCTGGCCTGGAACCCACTAGCATACTGCCTGTAACACAAGCATGCAACCCGTGCTCAGCTCCAACAGAAAGCAGAATTGAGAAGATTATCGATTCTCTAGACACGGAAGGGCTTTCTAGGTTTAAAATCCATTTACTGGTCCCTAAAATGATAACAACAACAACAAAAACCTACAGGACTGAAAAAAGCGGGCAGGCCTGCGAGCACTCTGGAGGTGGCGGTGGCTCATGGACCAGAGTTCAAAGCTGGCCTGGTCTACATGGGACCCTTTCTAAAGAAATAAATAAGGCCTTCCTCTCCATGTTACCAACCACTAGGGAAATGCAACAAAACTATAGGAATTACTCACACTTGGGATAGCTATCTAGACCCTTGGAAACCAGCTGGTTATGGTGGCAAGGGCCTGTAATCCCAGCACTTGGGAGACCTGGAGCCAGAAGATAGAGTTAGGTCCATCCTGGGCAATATCGTGAGAAAAAAAAAAGAAAGAAAGAAAGGCTAGAGAGATGGCTCAGTGGTTTAGAGAATTTGCTACTCTTCAAGGGGACCTGAATTTAGTGTTTGTTCGTTTGTCTTGTTTGGTTTTTTTTGAGACAGGATTTCTGTGTAGCCTCGGCTGACCTGGAACTCACTCTGTAGAGCAGGCTGGCCGCAAACTCATGAGATCCACCTGCCTCTGCCTGCCAAGTGCTGGGATTAAAGCATGCTGGGCTACAAATTCTCTTTACAAATTTGTAAATGAGAACAACCACGAACTTCTGGGGCTTCTGCCTGCCCCTCAGAGCTGTGACTACAAGCGCAAAGACTATGGCTGTCTGCACAGGGGCGTAAGTACTCCCTCTTTCCCCAATAAATGAACCTGCTTTTTGAAGCTCTTTTGGGGCTTGTGTTCTTTGTCTTAAGTTCTCACTGCATAAGACTGAGATCCTTAGACAGCCAAGCCTCACCTTCTCTAGTCCAGCCTGGTGCCTGGATAATTGGAGCAGCAGCGGTGCATGCATTTAATTCCAGTATTCAGCAGGCAGAGGCAGGTGGATCTGTGTGAGTTCGAAGCCAACCTGGTCTACATAGTGAGCTCCAGGACAGGCAGGGTTACACAGGGAAACCCTATCTCAAAAACAAAACTATACAGTGCTGCCTTCAACCTTGGCCAGGGAAGCAGGGGAACAGCTAATACAGCTCAGAGCTGGCCCAAATGCTGAGATCGAGGGTCTATTGTGTGCTTAGCTCCAAATGAGACACTGACATCAAGCCCAACCCCCGAGGCTCTTGGAACATCACGGAAGGGTGGCTGGAAAGGGAGGAGAGCTTTGAAATGCTGGCTGTTGCATTCCTGTGCTCACTGCAGCTGCGGCTACCTGAACAGGATTCTGACAAGTTCAGCCAATATTCCAGCAAACACCACAAACTGGACTCTGGATTATTAAAAAAAAAAAAAAAAAAAAAAAAAAAGCAGTCATGTAGGGTGTAGCTGGGAGATGTGTAGGGGAGTAGGAATGAATGAATGAATGAATGAATAAATAAATAAATAAATAAATAAATAAATAAATAAATAAATAAATAAATAAACAAATGAAATAAACAACCCAAGTTGGGCGTGGTGGCACACACCTTTAATCCCAGCACTCGGGGAGGCAGAGGCAGGCAGATCTCTGTGACTTTGAGGCCAGCCTGGTCTACAAAGCCAGTCTAGGACAGCCAGGGCTACACATAAGAGCCATTTCTGGGAAAGAAAGAAAGAAAGAAAGAAAGAAAGAAAGAAAGAAAGAAAGAAAGAAAGAAAGAAAGAAAGAAAGAAAGAAAGAAAAAGAAAGGGAAAGAAAGAAAACTAATAGCCCAGACAGAACTTGGGAGGTGAAGGCAGGACCAAGGTCATCCACGGCTACAAAGCAAACTCAAGGCCAGATGTGCTGCCTGAGACTCAGTCTCAAAAGTAGGGACTGGAAAGGCAGCTCAGCAATGAAGAGCACATACTGCTCTGCAGAGGACCTGCGTTTACCTAGGTCAGGTGGCTCACAACCCTCAGTAACTCCAGATCCAAGGCCTTGGACTCACACACATAATCTAAAACAACGTCTGTGTGTATGTGTGTGTGTGTTTGAGTCAGGGTCTCTATGTAGCCCTAGCTGTCCTGGAACTCACTTTGTACTTGAACTCACAGAGATCTACCTGTCTCTGTCTCCCAAGTGCTGGGATTAGAGGTGTGTGCCACCACGTTAGTCAATAATAAAATTCTGAATGTAAAAGTAAGCCAATTAACTAACTGATTTAATTAAATTGAAAATGGATATTGGTGTAGGGACGCAGTAGAGTACTTGTTTAGACTTCAGGAAACCCTAGGGGTTCAATCCCAGCACCCCCCAAATAACAATTAAGGTAAAATAAATTACAACAAAAGTAGGTGTAACCATATGGCAAGAGGTTGTCTGAGCATCTTTTAAGTTACACGAACAGCGTCGGGGGCTCCATGGTTGAGAGCAATGGCTGCTTTCAGAGGACCAGAGGACCTGGTTTCAATTCCCAGAACCCACATGGAGGCTCACAACCAATCGTAACTCTGTGCTCAAGGGATCCAATGTTGTCTTCTAGCTTTTCTGGGCACCAGGCGCATACATGGCACATAGACATATATATACAGGCAAAACATCCATACAAATAATAATAATAGTGTTTAACCTTGGCTCTGCCAATCGTGGCCTTGGGCAGGCCACTCAGTCTGTCTGAGCCTCGGTTGCTCTCGTGTGAATTGAAGAAGCAGGAGGATGACATGAAGGATGAAGAACTAGCTGTATGTCAAGGTCTCACCATCCCCCCTGGGACCCTCTGTCCAGTGGATGACAGTCACCCTCAAGTAGAGCCAGGGACTAGGCGAGAGAAAGGCTTTGAGAAACAGGCTGGTGGCCCACACCTTCAATCCCGGCCAGCTCCCCCCCCCCCCCCCCCCGGGAGGCAGAGGCTGGTGGATCTTTAGGAGGGAGGTGAGCCTGATTTACATAGCGAGTTCCACACAAGCCAGGGTTCTGTTACACAGACAGACCTTGTCCTGAAAAAGAAAAGAACAGCCTCCGAGGACTGTGACGTGCTTTCTTCGGGCACGAAGGAGGGCATGAGAGGACGAGCGCCCAGCTCCTGGGATGAGAGTGGGACCAGAGTTCCCTGACACAGGTCCTCGGCAGAGAGCATTGGGAACTGCCAGGCTGGGAAAGGGCTCAGCTCCTGGCAGAGCAGCTGAGGTACAGCTGGGCCCACAGCCTGGGAGGTAGTCTAGGGGAGCCTCCTCCCCCAGCCCACACCTCAGAGCTGCAGCTGGGCCCACAGCCTGGGAGGCAGTCCAGGGGAGCCTCCTCACCCAGCAGGTAGCTCAAGGCTGCAGCTGGTTCATACCTCTTCTCGACTGAGCCATGGCTAGGACATGGCTGCTGCTGCTCCTGGCCCTCAAGGGTCAGGGCCTGCCCACAGGTAAGTCCCTCTCGCCCTCCCTCTTTGGCTGCCGCTGAGCCCATTCCCTGGTACCAGCTCTGCAGTGATGGATGGGATCCCTGGCCACCTGGTTCTGAGGCCTCATAACCTCTTCCAGATGGAGTGTCAGCGGGGCCTGCTGTCCCTCTCAGACACAGAGAAGGGAAAGCACCCCTCAGCTGGTGAAGTAGGCCTGCAGCCCCGGGTAGTCAGGAGGCTGAGACAGGAGAAGGTGAAGTTCAAGGCCAGTCTGGACAACGTAGTGAGGGCTTGCCTCAAAAGAATTTGTACAAGGGAGACGCGGGGCGGGGGGGGGGGAAGTGGTAGTGCGCTTGCCTTGTCAGCCTGCATGAGGTTCAGCCCCAGGACTGACTCATAGGAGAGAAAAGGAGAAAACTGGGTGGGGAGTTAGAGGCTCCCCGACCCAAGGCTGTGCTGTGGGATATAGGGTGATGCAGCTCTGTGAGGTCCTGGGCTGTCCTTCCCGCCCTCAGAGTACCCCCTTACAACAGGGGCCAGGGCATCTCAAGTTCACTTCCAATTCAGAGCAGATGCCAAGGTGTCAGCCACTTGCCAAGCATTTAGCTCCAGTTAGCCAGGGTTCAGTTCCTCGGTGGGAGACTGGTCACGGGGACTTTCCTGATTGGGAGAAGGTTCAGCAGGAGGCCTGAACTCTGGGAAGGAGGAGCTTGGGGCCAGGAGAGACAGCCACGCAGGTTTTATGGAGAAGGTGGAGGCTGAATGGGCTCCAGAGGCTGAGGGCTCTGGGCCTCACCCCCCCAGTCTCTTTGTCTGCAGAGCATTGGTGATATTAATGCAAATAATATTCCCAAATGCTCCTCACAACCATTCTATTCGACTGGTGCTGGGGAGACTTGGATCTCAGTCAGTTAAGGAGACTGACTCAGAGGCCAGTCCTGTGGCTTGATCCAATGCGTCATGTGACAGGGTTTTAGACATTCTTCAAGGCAAAGAAGACGATGAGATTTGTGGTCATAGAGGCTCAAGTTCAAATGCTGACTGGATACACGTTCAGGGTCCCTAGACCAGTTATTTGGCCTTCTATTACCTTCAACTCATCTTCCACAAGACTCTCTGGCATCCTGGGGCTTTTTTGTTTTGTTTTGTTTTTTGTTTTTGTTTGTTTGTTGGCCACACAGAGTCCATGGTATGAGTTTATTTTCAGTTGTCAACATTTGAGACTGTGCTTACATTGAGGAAGCACAGAACTGACTCTGCCAGTTCTGCTCTGACCTCCACAGGCACCTACCCACGCACCTCTGCCTTCTCTCTCTCCTGTCTCACAAACGCAAAGTAAATTTTGTTATGGTGGTGGTAGCAGTGGTTTTTCAAGACAGGGTTTCCCTGTGTAGCCTTGGCTGCCCTGGAACTCACTCTGTAGACCAGGCTGGCCTTGAACTCAGAGAGATTGGCCTGCTTCTGCCTCCTGAGCGCTGGGATTAAAGGGGCGCGTCATCACTGCCCAGCATGCAAAGTGAATGTCTTCTAAAAAGAGGAAAAGGGGTGGGGGGGAGACGGCTCAGTGGTTGGGAGCACTGGCTGCTTTTCCAGAGGACCCGTATTTCATTTCCAGCACTGCCATGGTGGTTCATAACTGTCTGTGACTCTAGTCCCAGGAGATCCGATGCCCCTGTTGGCCTGTGTGAGCGCTGCAGGCATGTGTGCAGACACTCTTGGCAGTCACAACGCTCATACACGTAAAATAAATAAAACCTGAAAAAAAAAAAAGAGCAAGACTTCATGCTGGGCGTGTCACTCTGTGGCGGGGGTTTAATCCCCAGCACCTGGCATGGTGTGTGCTCAATCCTGGGGAGGTGGGGGAGGGTGCATGCCTATTATCCCAGTGCTCTGGAGGTGGAGGCAGGAGGATCCAGAATGCAGAGTGGTCCCTGGTCCCATGGGGACTTTGAGGCTAGCCTGGGCTACACAGAACGATGTCTCAAAAGCAAACCAAAACGAAGTGAAAAAGATCTGATTGGAACATAGTAAAAAGTGAACCGTTTGCTAGCCCATGTCACTGCCAGCTCATTCCTGTGTGTTGACAGTCCCACGATGGCACTGGGGTCCGAACATGGGGCTTCATGTTAAAGATAAACATCCTTCCTCAGAGCTTCATCTCCTCCTCCTTTTGGTTTAGTTTACATTAATTTTTAAATTTCATGCTCATATGCACACCCTGGAGCACAAGCATCGCCCTCAGAGGACAAACTTCAGGAGTCAGTTTTTGCCCTCTGACACGAGGGCTCCTAGGCTTGAACTCAGATTTGGCAACAAGCCCTTACTCAGTAAGCCATCTTGTCAGCTTCCAAGCTTCAGCCTCGAGGGTGCTGGGCTTACACTCATGGACAGCTGCAGCGGGCTCAGCTAACTCCTTCCGGGGAGGGGAGCTCTAAGAATCCTGGGAGCACCCTCTGCTTCCCTCCCGAGAGGCACACAACTCGGTATTGTAAGCACTTGCTTACGAAGCTAATGCGCTTCCCACGGGACTGAGTTCCTCAAAGGCCCAGGCAACGTCTTTCTCAGGGTCATATACCCAGTGGCTGGCACAGAAAGGGGTTGCCAGGCAGTGGTGGCATGTGCCTTTAATCCCAGCACTCGGGAGGCACAGGTAGGCGGATCTTTGAGTTTGAAGCCAGCCTGGTCTACAAAGTGAGTTCCAGGACAGCCAAGGCTACACAGAGAAACCCTGTCTCAAAAACACCAAAAGGGTGGCTCAGAAAGTATAGATGGGGAGACATGAGGGAGAACGGCGGAGGATGGGTGAATTATTAGAGAGGGTAGGTGAACGCATGGCCCCAGGCCTGTGTAGACGGCTCAGTGATTCAGAATGCTTGCTGCAGAAGCATGAGGAGCTGGGTTCAAATCCTCAGCACCCACGTGAGAAACTGCATCGCTCTAAGTGTGCCTGTAATCCCAGCACTGGGGAGAGCAGAGCCAGGAGGATCACTGGGGGCCTGCTGGATGCAGGCCTAGCTCCAGGGCCAGTGAGACCCTGTCCTACGGGTACAAGAGGACAAGTGCTAGAACAGGTCAGCCGATGTCCTCCTCTGGCCTCTGTGCGCGAACAGGCATTCATACGCACACGCCTGCACGTCTACAAACACACACTCCATGTACACAGACACCCACACGCCAAAGAGAAGGAAGGAAGGAAGAAGAGTTTGGTAGGAGGAAGAAGGGAGGTGAAATGAGTAAATTCAAGAAGGGAGGAGGGTGGACTGCAGGATACAGTGCTGAGTGGGAATGGTAGGAGGGCAGGGAACGACTGAAACCCAGGATGCTCTCCTCTCTGGCAGGCAAAGCCGGCATCCCCTTTCCTTCTCTGGCTCCACCCATCACGGTGCTGCTGGATGGGAGGCAGCAGGTGCTCGTGGTTTGCCTGGTCCTGGATGCTTCGCCCCCCGGCCTCGACAGCCCCGTCTGGTTCTCAGCCGGCAACGGCAGTGCCCTGGAGGCCTTCAGCTACGGGCCCTCCCCAGCACCGGATGGCACCTGGACTAGCCTGGCGCAGCTTTCCCTGCCTTCCGAAGAGCTGCAAACCTGGGAGCCCTTGGTCTGCCACACCAGGCCCGGGGCTGGAGGCCAGAGCAGGAGCACAGCCCCCCTCCAGCTGACAGGTAGGGATGGAGCCTGGGGTCCTTTCTAACAGCCTGGGACAAGAATGGGAGCGGGGGAGGGTAGGTTCTGGGCATGAGGCAGAAGGACACGTAAGGGTGGAGCCTGGCTCTGGTAGCATGGCCTCGAGGCCGTGATTCCTGAGATTTGCAGCTGTTCCCTCTGGAGCCTGCAATCCCAGCACTTGAGGAGAGGAAGGAGGATCAGGAGCTCAAAGCTATCCTTGGCTACATAGTGATTTCAAGGCATGCATGGGCTCCATGAGACCCTGTCTCAAAAAACAAAAGAAAAGCAAATCTAGTCTCTGTTGTGTGATTTCCAAGAGATGTTAATAACTTTTAACGGGTTGTTTATAGGTACATATACGCACGTTTTATATAAATCATCTATATAAACAGTTCATATACACGTAATCAAAGCCTGTAAGGCCAAACAATAGTTAAAGAATAAGCCCCATTATACACCAAGTTACTGTATGCCGACCACTGCCCGAAATGTTTCTTTCTTTTTCTTTTTTTTTTTCTTTCTTTCTTTTTTTTTCCCCCAAGACAGGGCTTCTCTGTGTAGCCCTGGCTGTCCTGGAACTCGCTCTGTAGACCAGCCTGGCCTCAGACTGACAGAGAGCCGCCCGCCTCTGCCTCCCAAGTGCTGAGATGACCAGCACGAGTCACCACGCCCTGCTCCCAGCTTTTTTACAAGGGTGCTGGGGCTCCCACTCGGGAAGGCCCTTCACCAACTAGGCCATCTCCCGAGCCAAGCACACCAGGCTGGCTGGCCACTGAGCCCATGGTCTGTGCCCACCTCTCCAGCACTGGACTAGAAATACGGGCCACCAGGCCTTGTCTCTGTTTTTGTTGTTTTGAGACAGTTTTTCTGTGTAGCCCTGGCTGTCTTGTTTCTTTTTTTTTTTTTTTTTTTTGTTTTCCCTTTCTTTTCCTTTTAAAGATTTATTTAATTTTTACAAAGATTTATTTGTTCATTTATTTTATGCTCTATCTGCATGTACACCTGGGTGCCGGAAGAGGGCATCAGAGCCTAGTATAGATGGTTGTGAGCCACCATGTGGTTGCTGGGAATTGAACTTAGGACCTTTGGAAGAGCAGCTGGTGTTCTTAACTTCTGAGCCATCTCTCCAGCCTCCCCTCCTCCCCCGGCTTTTTTTAAATTTTATTTTTGGTTTTTCGAGACACGGTTTCTCTGTGTAACCGTGGCTGTCCTGAGCTTGCTTTGTACTGGTCTCGAACTCACAGAGATCTAACTGCCTCTGCCTCCCTGAGTGCTGGGATTAAAGGCTTTGCCACCGAGCCCAGATTGTTTATTTTTAAACCTGGGTTCGGGAGCTAGAACTCAGGTCCAGTGCCTGTATAGCAAGCACTGTCATGACTGAGCATTTGGATCACCTCAGTTTCATTACTTCCCAAAGAGGAATGCTTGATGGAAAAAAAAAAAAAAAAGCCCTGCCTTCCAACCAAAGCTCTGAGAGAATGGTCTCCTTGAGGGAGGGGAGGTGCTGCTTAGGGGACGGGACTGTCAGGCAGGGAGGGGAGGAGACCTGGGTCTCTGCACATGTCCATATGCCCTGCAAGTTGACGGGGCCAGGCCTCTGGGACTGTGAGGTGTCCACCCAGCCCATCGTCCTCACTCCTGTCTTCTTGGCTCACAGGGGAAGCACCCACATCCAGGACCTGCTTTCAGGAACCTCTCTGGGGTGAGCGGTCAGGGGTAGGGGCAGGATGGTGGTTGGGATCAAGAGTCTGAGTGCTGGTACCTGGTGGCTGGCGTTCAGTTCTGCTTTCACCATGGGCCCCATGAGGTTGCAGTTGGGGAGGGGGGCTGAGAAGTCTCCAGTGAAGGGACTGCTTTGCTCCGGGCTGGCCTGGGCTTCAGGCTAGCCTGGGGTCTATGGATCTCAGCCTAATTCCTGCACTCCCGGGGAGCAGCACAGATGAGGGCCTGATGGCTCTCCTTGGGTGGGTGGGGAGAGGCAAGGGGTCTCAGTGTGAGAGCAGCTGCTTCATTTCATTACCTGAGGTGGTGAGAAACGCACTGGCTAATAATCAAAACGCCCATTTCTTGCCCAGATATGCTGAGCTATTTACTCTTTGCATCAGATGCTCATTCCTGCCAGGCTTCCTCCCCCGCCAAATAAAATAAAAATGAGCACTAAGTAGGCACTTATTAGTACCAGAAACTAAGGTTAGACACCTGGAAGGAATTTCCTTGGAGAAAGAGGCAGAGAATGGCCAACACAGAGGGCAGGCCCTCCGGGTCCTTTGCAAGCTCTAGAGCTCCTGGGGACATCTCCTGCCTCCTCCTTCTGCAGGGACACCGGGTCAGGAACTGCGGCTGAGCGCACTGCGCCTGCTTCTCTTCAAACTGCTTCTGCTGGATGTGCTCTTGACCTGCGGACCCCTCTGTGTGCTGGCGGGCCAGCACCTGAGGCCACCACCCCCGTGCAAGCCCCTGCCTCCCGCCCACCGGATTTGGGCGTAATGATGAGAGAGACTTCTAGCTTTGATCTTACCCAGCCCTCTGAGGCTCTTTTCTGGCGCTCTTCTGGATACTTTGCTTCTGCGACCTCGACCTCGGGTGGTAACGCAAAGCCCAGGCTATGCCGAGGCCAGGTGGGCCGGGAGCTCACACGGCCCGCCTCACCCCACCCCCATTGGCGGTCCTTACTCAGGTTGGGGAGTTTTGCTTTGTTCTGAGCGAGGTCTGCCTCTTCTTGTAAATGGGACCTTCTGGGACTGGACTCTGCCTGCCCCTCAGACTGAGACTTTGGGAGGAAAAGGACTGTGTCTCTCTTATCAGACGGGGTAGGAGGCTGTGCCCTCTAGTCCTGGCACAACACAGAAGGCTTATAACGGACACAGGAACCTCACAAAGCTTTTCATTTGTGTGCCTGGGGGAAGTTGGTAGTGGTGCCTGACATAGAGGAAGCGATGGTCTGGGCAGGCTCCTTGGAGGAAGAGTGGGAATCTGGAAATTGCAGAGTGGGTCTGGAGGGGGAGTTGCAAGGAAGCTCTCTTTCCCCTACCGTCAGTCACTGGACAAAGATCCTGTCTGTTTCCTTCCCTGGCACAACCTCTCTGAGAGGGCCGAGCAGAGCCAGGGAGCCAGGGCTCAGCTGCTGGTCTTGCGCAGACTTGACAGAAGAGAGCAGAGCCAGGATTCCTGGGGCATCAGGATCACAGCCAATGCTTGAAGCAGAAAACAGTAATTGCAAACCTACGCACTGTTAATTAAAAGTAATTCATTTGACAGATACTCACCGAGCATCAGTGAAGAGCCAGGTACTAAAGAGGTCTGGTGTCTTAGTGAGGGTTTCTATGCTGTGGAGAGACACCATGACCATAGAAACTCCTATAAAGGAAAACATGTATTTGGGGCTGGCTTACAGTTCAGAGGTGTAGTCCATTATCATCATGGCGGGAAGCATGGCAGCGTGCAGGCAGACATGGTGCTGGAGAAGGAGCTGAGAGTTCTACATGAAGTAGATGAGAGGCCTACATCTGGACCCACAGGCAGCAGGAACAGACAGTGAGCAACTGGGCCTAGCTTAAGCTTCTGAAACCCCAGAGCCCACTCCCAGTGACACACTTCCTCCAACAAAGCCACACCCACTCCAACAAGAACACACCTCCACATAGTGACACTCCCTATGGGCCTACTGGACTCACTTTGTAGACTCACTTTGTTCAGGCTGGCCTTGAACTCACAGAGATCTGCCACTGCCTTCCTGAGTGCTAGAATTACAGACATGTGCCATCAAGCCTGGCTGGGGAGGGGCATTTTTCTAACCACTGCATTTGGCATTGTTGGTTTTTCCTTGTTCCCTAATGAGGGCCCTTCCATGGCTAAAGAACAAGGTTCCCACGGTGGAAAAGGATTTACTTCCAATCACATGTGCTTATCTCTGTCCGAGGATGTCAGAGTAGGTGCCTATGGAGGCCAGAGAAAGGTAGAGCTGGAGTTACAGATGGTTGAGAACCACCTAATGTGGGTGTTGGTACCCAACAGAGGCCTCTGGGAGAACATCTCTCCACCCCTTGAATCAGTCTTCCTTCCTTCCTTTCTTTCTTTCTTTCTTTCTTTCTTTCTTTCTTTCTTTCTTCCCTCTTCCTCTCCCTCCTCCATTCCTCCTCTGCTTTGACATCTTCTTTTGCTTCTGCTTCTTCAAGACAGAGTCTCACTACATAGCCCTGGCTGTCCTTGAACTCACAGAGATTCTCTTGTCTCTGCCTCCTGAATGCTAGGATTAAAGGCGTGTCCTGTCACTATACTGGGCCCTGAGCCTTTTCTGAATCCATATCTATATTGTAGCCAGAATTTGCTGCTTTGTGGGTTCCTTTCTCTCTTCCACCCTTCTCTATCCCTTTATTTTTCCCCTTTCAACCCCCTAACACTAAGTAGGAGAGAAAAAAGGATAGAAGGGAAAGTGGGTATCATTATCTTTAGACTGTTTCCTGCTGATTGGGGCCATCGAGTTCCTTGGAGCAAGTTTGATCTTTGCTGTCAGGATACCCAATTTCGTCTCATTTCTTTTCAAACAACTATTTAACAAAATGCAAACAGCAAACAATAGCATCTAACCACCAACCAGACACCTATGGGACTCTAGCATTTATACAGCCTCTGGAAAGTCCCCAGAATTCCATGTGTTATAACCTCAAAGAAACTATCTGTAGCTGGCATTTGGAATTCTCTCTTCCTCTCTCTCTCTCTCTCTCTCTCTCTCTCTCTCTCTGTTTTAAAGAAGCCAAAATTCTCACTACTCTATAGATTGAGGCAGGGTCTCAGTTGAACTCTAAATTCTCACTAAATCTACAGTTCACAGCTAGCTCAAGCTAGGCAGCTTGCTCCGAGGATTCTCTCTGCAAACAGCACTGGGATTACTAGTAGGATGCCATTCTTGCCATTCAGTTTTGGTTTTGATGCTTGTGTGGTAAGCATTTTTAACCACTGGACCATTTTCACAGCCCCATCTCTGGCCTCTTTCTATGGATCATTTAGGGAACAGGAACATAGCTTATGGTGATGACATTGTGTCCCTCCATACAGGAATCAAGCTTTCCCCCAAGGCTAGGTTCAGGGAGGGATTGAGCTTTAGCCTCAACTTCTCTAGGCATTGTCCCTTAGCCCTCAGCCCAGATGCTGAGCCTAGGCTTTAATGTTTGCCTCTATAAATGTCCCTTAGCAGCCCTCGGTCCAGAAGTCAAGTTCTTTCTGCTTCAACTTTCCTTGCTCTTCTCTTCAACTGTGTCCTGTTCCAGTCCCTTGAATCACATCTGTGGCTGAAAAATATTATCGCCAGGAGGGGTTTGGAGCCTTGTGAGTCAAAGGTGGTGGCCAGCTTCTGATTTATCCAGGTCTAACACAGCCTAGGGAAGTAGAGACACCCTGGAGATTCCTCCAGTCTGAGGTAGTGTGACGTTCTGTGTGCCGAAGCCCCATCTAGCCAAAGTGCCCTGATACGGACACTGTTAAGTGTTGCAGCTCTGAAAGAAAATGTATCCTGGCAGTCATGAGCCAAGGAATACCACAGAGTCACACAGCACAACAAATCTCACACAAGAGATTTATTAGGAATTGCAGTGAGATTTTTGTAATTTTGATCACTTAAAAGAAAGCAAGCAAGCCAGGCACAGTGGTACATGCCAGCACTTGGGAGGCAAAGGCAGGTGGATCTCTGTGAGCTTGAGGCCAGCCTCGTCTGAGTCCAGGACAGCCAAGGCTACACCAAGAAACCCTGTCTCAAAACAAACAAACAAAAACCCAGAAATGATATGAGAATATGTTTTTGTTTTAATTCCAGGTGTGGGGATATGAGGCTGCTTCACAGAAGGTGGCTATGATTTGCCTTGTGCTCTGGCAGGGGTGTGGTTTTGCCAGCTGCCGAGTGTTTCTGCAAGGTTGTGACATTTGCAATCCTGGGAACTTTTCAGACGGTATATAAATGCTAGGGCCCCAAGAGGCGGGGTTGCTGTTGTTGGCTGGCTGGTATTTGGATGCTGTTGGTTGCAAAGAAACAAGTACAAAGAAACTAGAAGAACTTAGATATCCTGATGGTGAATATCAAACTTGCCCCAAGGAATTCGGCACCCCTTAATCAGCAGAAAATAGTCTGATAACTTCACCCCCTTTCCCTTCTACCTTTTCCCCTCAAAATCTAGTATTGGGGGTTTAATGAGGGTAGAGAAGGGTGGAAGGAATAAAAAAGGACCCATAAAGTAGTAAACACTGGCTACAAGTGGTGTCCAACAAAGGGCAAAGCAGAATGGGAAATTTTATTTCAAATGCACTAGAGGAAATGGCAGGGGAAGAAGAAACGGATATTCTTTTTCAAGATGCCAGCAAAAAAATTTATTGTGGCTTCTTCTGCTGGGTTATCTCCCAAGACTGGAAGGGATTGGTGACAGCTGCATTAGAAGCCAGTCTGCAGTTACAATGGTTAACATGGTGGAGGGAAGAAGCCACGAATATTAAACAGGGAAACAGAAGGGAATGAATATAGTAAAAGATCAGTTGCTGGGTGAAGGGCGGCACTCTGCTATACAAGAACAGGTTCAATTTCATGATTCCACTATTGAGCCATGTCGCTGAGTGGCTTTAAGAGCTTGGGACAAAGTTGAGGAGCCTGGTAAAGGGTCCACCTCATTTACAAAGATTATACAAGCTTTTGGAGAAGCTGTCACTGATTTTTTTTTTTACAAAGATTAGTCTCACCTGTGAAAAAAGCCATACCAGACCCTGATGCAAGGGTTGTTAGAAACCTTGGGGCATCAAAATGCAAATATTGAATGTAAAAAGTTATAGGCTCTTAAAGGTGCGAGTAACACTGATGGACAAAGAATGGAAAAGGGAAACAACCAGAATCGGTTCTCATGTGTAGCATGCTAATATCATAGGTCAAGTTATAGCTGAAGTTCTCAGATATCAAAATGCCTGGTGCTTTAATTGCAGGAAATCTAATCATCTGTAAAGAGACTGTGAGCAAGCCAGTAAATGTTTGAGGTCTCAAAATGCCTGGTGTGTTAACATCAAGAAATACAGTACTTTGTGCTATAAAAATGAACAAGTCATTTCTAGCAGCAATGGGTTGCCTAACTATAAGCCAGAACGAATTAGGCTTCCACAGGTATGCAGGCCATTGGACCAATAAATGTAGGTCCAAGAGAGATATCCAAGGCGATTTCTTGACCTTGGAAATGGCTATGAGAGCCTGGCTCTAGGCCCTGCAGCAAAAATTACAAGCCATTTCAAATAAGAGCAGCCAAGAGTCATGAGGTTATACAAAACAAACAAAACAAAAAAATGTGGAATTAAAGCAGCCTATATACTATAAGAATGTATTAACATTAGAATTGAAGGTGCCAGAGCCCGCTGGCAGAGTCAAACAGTTCCTGAGTGGCGAATGAGGACTGAAAGAAAATTAAACACATACACACGCACACACTCTCCACAGGAAATCAGTTCGAGAGGGTTGCCAGTAGAAACTGTACATATGGTTTATTCCACAATACCTTTTCTTTAGTCAGAGAAAGCACCTCAGCACAATGAAGGGTTCATGGAGAAGTCAAACTTGTTTACCCCGACCATCTGTCTTTGTGATCCTCACACAAACTAAAGGAACAGAACTTGGCAAAGCATCCTGCTTGTCTCTATCTCCAGGTGAAGGCCAGTGTGAAAACATGCTTCTCACTGAGAACTCAATAAACAAAGCAGCCTGACAAACAAGCAGCTCTCCACAGAAGCCTACAAAATTTCCCATTGGGGACATGGATTTGTTTATGTTTCCACAGGAAATGAAAAGCTGTGGGCACCACTAAAACTTACAAAGATTAGAATTGAGTAGGAGAGGTCTCCTGAAAACCTTGGTCACTGACCCAGAAAGTGCTTATTTCATTGAAAATATTTCTGTTTATAATGTCTTACTAAATACAGCATAAATAATGCCTTAAAACAGAAAGGGGGAAATGCAGTGTGTGACATGGGAATTCTGGGAACTTTTTGGAAGCTATGTAATAAATGTTAGGGCCCCGGGGGGGGGGGGGTTGCTGTTGTTGGCTGGTTGGTGGTTGGGTGCTGTTTGTCAAGTAGCTGTGCACAAAGAAACTAGAAGAAGAAGTTAGATACACTGATGACAAACATCAAACTTGCCCCAAGGAACACAATGCCCCTCATCAGCAGGAAGTAGTCTAACAATAACTTTATACCTTTTCCCTTTTTTTTCTCTCCAGTTTAGTGGTGGGGGTTAACAAGGGTAGAGAAGGATGGAGGAGAGTAAAAGGAGGCCACATAGTAGTTAATGCCAGATACAGGGAGGGGAAAGCACAGGAGGGAAGCTGTCTCAGTTTGCATGAGGAGCAGTAGAGAACTGAGCAGCTTTCTATATGGTTTGGGGAGGGGGCTGGGCAGAATTTACCAGAGTGGTTTGGGATTGCAGGGATTATGTGGCCTGATTTTGGAGCAAACTCAGGGATTGGCAGGATTTTGTGGCCTGATCTTGTAAGACCTGGGGTCTCACAGCTCAGGAGTTTAAGATCGCACCCTTCCCAGAAACTCCCCCAGACCAAGACTCGTTGAAAAAGCAAGAGGTTTATTAACCATTGCGCAATGGGGTCACCCCTGCCGGTCAGCAAAGAGTGGCACCCAGAGACAAAGGCCTTTAGGTTTTTAAAAGAAAAATTGCGGGAGATTTGAAGTTGAAGTCTTGGCAATTTAGGATTGGATGAGGAAGCTATAAAGTAAGATAACTGGTTAGTCTTAGGTGCTCAAGCTTGGCCAGTCCTGCCAAGTGTGGACGAAGCTGCAATTTAAGGTGGGGGTGGTTAGCTCATCCTTGAAGATTAGGGGCTGCGGACTTTTGGCTGCAGGTCAAAAGCTACTCAGAACAAGTCTGGGTTCTTTGCTAAGAAGTGCTATCTCATTAAAGGGTCTGGTCCTTTTTTTTTTGCTGAGTGAAGGTCATTGCTTGCTTGCCTTTTTTTTTTTTTTTTTTTTTTTTTATATCTGTCCTCACAGATAGGGTCACATTCCTCCATTCTCTGGAAAGGTACTAAGAGGCTTTAGCTTAACCTGAACCTAAAACTCAAAGCTATAGGCTTTAGAAGACATACTGGTTACAAAGTTAGTCTAACCTTTTCAATCTCAGCTTTTTTTTTTTTTCTTTAGGGTGGGGCCTGGCCACACTTCTGCCTTAGGGGGCTGGTAATGCATGTTATGGCCCTTAGAGAAGTTTGGGGGACAAGGTCCAGCCATTCTGGCCTCCAGGGTCTTATAAACACTTTAAACAAGGCATTAAGGCTAACAAAGGGCAGGCTGGGCTTGGAGGTCTTCATAAGGTCAGCAAACAAACCCAGATTGAGAAAGGAAACAGGGCTTTGTGGGCAAAGCTGCATTTGTTGCTAGCTTCCCAGGAAAGTTGAGCTCAGAAGCAGTTTAAAGTAATGCTAAGAACCAAGGCTGTCCTTGAACTCTTGATCTTTCTGCTTCTTCCAAAGAGCTGTGGTTTTTTTCTGTCTTCACCTTCCAAGTGCTGTTATCATGGGAGTGTGCCATCACACCTGATATGGCTCACTTTTGTGTTTGGTGCCAGACTGAGTCCAAGACCTCATCCGTACAAGGCAACCACTCCACAGCTAAGGTCTATGTTCAGCCTGGGAGTTCTCAACAAAGATCTCCTAGTGCCAGGCCCTCTGACGCTGCAGAGGCAAAAAAAAAAAAAAAAAAAAAGTAAATGTTCAATACCAGGTTCCTGCCTTTTGAGAACTCACAATACAAATAAATAGCAGAAGAGACTGAGACACCATGCTAAAAACACTGCAATGTTCAGCCATCTATTCCATGCATCTCAAAGTGGTTTTGTTTTGTTTGGAGACAGGACTTCATGTAGCTCAGGCTGCACCCTTGGCTAGGTAGCCAAGGTTGGCCCTCAACTTCTCTGACCTCCTTCTACTTCTGGAATGCTTGGATTATAGCCTTGCACCAACACGCACCTTCAGTGTTACAGCAGCCTGGAGAGCAAATCCCAGCCTGGAAATGAAACACGAGGGATTTGTGCGAGTTAGGCAAGTACTACTGAGTGAGCTATATCCCTAGTTGTTCATGAGGTTTTAACCCAATTAATTCACCAATTGACTTGAGTTTTCCAACAGGCAAGCTTCAAAGAGATGTAGGAGAATCACTCTGGGTAAAGAAGTCAGTGTTTTGGGGACTGGAGAGATGGCTCAGAGCTTAGGTGCACTGGCTGCTGTGCTTCCTAAAGGTCCAGAGTTCAATTCCCAGCAACCACATGGTGACTCACAACCATCTATAATGAGATCTGATGCCCTCTTCTGGTGTATAGGTGTACATGCAGGCAGAACACTGTATACATAATAAATCCTTTTTTAAAAGTGAGTAATTCTAGTTTTCGTAAGGACAATTGCAAAGTCACTGGGCATCAGGGCTGTTGTGGGTCTTTAAGTATCTATTAGTGTGAGTGGCTGCAATAATAAAATCTAAAAGCAGGTGTCTAGTGAGGGTTTGCAACTTTATAAAGAAAGCCATTAGGAGGGTTGATGACTTGACTTACGAAATAAAGGAGACCGCTATTAAGCCTGCAGGCCCCAGTTCGATGCCCAGGACCAACGTGGTAGAAGGAGACAACTGATTCCAGTCGTCTTTCCTCTAATTTTACAGCTTAGAGGAAAAGAGCGTGAGGCCGGATGTGGAGGCGCAGGCCAGAGGCAGGCAGACCTCTGAACTCAACGCCAGCCTGGTCAACGCAGTGAGTTCCAGCACAGCCAGAGCTACATAGAGAAACCCTGTCTCGAAGAACAAAAGACAGAGGGGAAAAAAACAAAACAAAAAACAAAACATGAGCGATAGTCCGCTCCATGTTAGAAAGCCCAAATCCGGCCCCTCCGAGGCCAACCCAGAGTTCTACTCCCTGGGCCCTGAAACTCCAGCCTCTCCCAAATCCTCCGTTTGACGTCGGAGAGATGGCTCTAGGTCGCCCAAGCCACCATCCACTCTCTGATTGGCCGAGGTGGAGAAAAGATCGTTTTTTTCCCATTCGCTAGAAAGCAAACGCCGAGCGAACCCCATTGGCTGCGCCGCCCGCGGGCCTCGGTCCGTTTGGAAAGCTGCTGGAGGCCGAGGCGAGGGGGCGGGCCGGGGCGCGCCGTCGCCGTGGTTACCCGGAGGCACGTGTGCAGCCCCGGAAGCGGCCCGGGGAAGCTGCTCCGCGCGCGCTGCCGGAGGAAGCGCCACCGGGTCCGCTCCGTTCCCGGTCCGGCTGGGCCATGGAGTCGATGTCTGAGCTCGCGCCCCGCTGCCTCCTGCTTCCCCTGCTGCTGCTGCTGCCGCTGCTGCTGCTACCGGCCCCGAAGCTGGGCCCGAGCCGCGCCCGGGCGGAGGAGACCGACTGGGTGCGATTGCCCAGCAAATGCGAAGGTGAGGGGGCGGGGCCGCGGGGCGTAGCCAGCCCGAGGGGCGGGCGGGGGCGGGGCCTGCGGGGCAGGGTCTTGGGATGGCAGGTCCCGGGGCCGGGGTCTCACTGACTCTGCAGTGTGCTTGGCACTGGTAGGTGCTGGGACTCCCGAATAAGCTAGAGGTCCGTGCTTTGGGGCCGGCCAGGCGTAACTGCTTATCTAGCCTGGAGGTGGGGGTGAAGGGAAGGCTTCATGGAGGAAGCCTGCTGCGAAATTAGGAGTTGGCCAGGAAAAGGAAAGAGGAGCCTCCTCCGCAGAAACCACAGAAACGGAGGCAGGTGAAAAGGCCGTGCAGGCCGAGAAGCCAAAGAGCGAGTTTGAGGAACTGAAAAGCTCCATATGACTCAGAAAAGGAACAGAAACAGTCCCCATAGTACCTTCTCTACAGCCTAATTTATGTATGGGTTTTTGTTCCCTGAAGTCTTAGTTCAAATATTTATTGGCAGACACACACACACACAGAGACGCTGTTGGAATACGTACGATTATGTGGAGGTGTGATTATATGAAGGCTGTGACTTCACTGTGTGATTCTTTTGCTTCTTGAGGACAGGGACTCGGCTGCAAATATCTAACGGCAGAACAAAAACATTTTTTTAAAGCTTGTGGAGTATATACATTATATGGAGAGGCCGTGAGTGTGTTTGGAGGCTCAGAGGATCACTTTGTGGAAGCATAGGGCCCAGAGGAGATTTAGGTGAAGGAGGGAGACAAGGAATCCTCAAGGACAAGAACCCTCAAGACACAGGAGTGGAGGCAGCAACTCAGGGTCTTCTCTTTTGTCCTGTCCTTCACTTACTTGCCGGTTTCCTTCCCAGACCTTTGCAGTCATTCCCCCTCCTTTCTCCATTCTAGCTCGGAACACCCCAGAGTATTCTGGAAATCCACTTTATGTTAAGTCAAAGCCTGCACCAAGCTAGACCTACCCAGGTCAGATGTTCCCTAAGCACTGGGAAACGGGGCGTTGAGACACATAATCCTTCCATTTGAGCGGTTAAAATCGAGATGGAGGCAGGGCACACGGCTCAGTGGGTAAAATGATTGCTGCACCAACCTAGGGACCTGAGTTCAGAACCCCAAGATAAGTGTGGAAAACAGATGCTGCTGTGTTCGTGTGCCTGTACTCTCATCGCTTGGGAGACCCACATGGGAGCCAGTCTGGCCAAATCGTCATGCTGCAGGTTCAAGTGAGAAACCCTGTCTGGAAAAAAAAAAAAAAAAGATGCTGAACAGTGTCAGGAGACACCTCTGGCCTCCATGTGCTTACCCACACATGAATGCATGAGTGTACACTCGTGTTCACACACACACTGTAAATACACAACACTTTGTTTTTAAGTGAGATGCTCTGGAGATACGTGAGTCCCTGGAACTGTGCCTGTGAAGGGTCTCACCCGTGCCAGGCTGCTTTCCCTCCACCTTCTTCTGGTCCTGGGAGTTTTGTATTTGTCTTTCCATTTGTTTGTTTGTTTGAGACAGGGTTTCTCTGTGTGTCCCTTGCTGTCCTGGAACTCGATTTGTAAACCAGGCTGGCCTCTAACTCACAGAGATCCGCCTGCGTCTGCTCTCTGAGTGCTAGGACTAAAGTCATGTGCTACCTCCAGGCTCTTCCTCTGTTTCTTTCTTTTTAAAATTTTTTTAGGGGTGTGTGTGTGTGTGTGTGTGTGTGTGTGTGTGTGTGTATGAGTGAGTACTCTGCCCATATGCCTGCATGACAGAAGAGGGCATCAGATCCCATTATGGTTGTGAGCCACCATGTGGTTGCTAGGAACTAAACTTAGGACCTCTGGAAGAGGAGCCAGTGCTCTTAACCTCTGAGCCATCTCCCCAGCCCCCTTCTTCCATTTCTTCTTTAAAAAAAAAAAAAAAAAGATTTATTTATTATTTATACAACATTCTGCCTGCACACCAGATCTTACTATAGATGGTTGTGAGCCACCATGTGGTTGCTGGAAATTGAACTCAGGACCTTTGGAAGAATAGCCAGTGTTCTTAAACTCTGAGCCATCTCTTCAGCCATCTTTCTTATTCACAGTTCAGGAAGGTCATGTTTTTCCCTTCATAGACTCAGAATCACAGAGCTGGTGAGAATCTTAGTATTCATCCAAGCCTAAACTCATTTTGTAATCAGTGAAGATTAATTTACAAAGGATTTTTCAGCCATGAAGTGGTTTGGCAAACTTTGACCCTTAGACTCGTCTTAATACTTTATTTATTTATGTTTATTAGTATTGCATTTTTGTTGTTAATTGCTAGCTGTTGTCTGGCTCAGAGAGCCCACCTTCCGGTTTTGTAGCCTCAGTGGAACAGGCCTCAGCACAGAGGAAGGAGAACTTGCCCAGAAGCGCCTGCGCGCGCGCGCACACACACACACACACACACACTCACACTCACACACTCACACACTGTGGGTGTCTTGAAGAAGTGACGTTTGGATGGATGGGAATGGTTGTAGTTGATGGATATGAAAAAGGATTTCGAAACCTTCATTTTCCCCCTCGTGGAATACCACAGCTGAGGCTGTGGGAGAAATGGGCAGAGTAGCCAGAATATGCCGAGTGTGCCAGGAGTGGAATGGGGAGGGAGCCCAGATGGTCCACGATTGTCCAGCAGAGAAGTGAGAACCTTGCTGCATTGGAGACTCTGAGATCACCAGCTTCTAATTGGGGCTCTTGGGTTCCAAGTTCTCCGGCATCAGTTAGAGAGCTTGTTACATAAAACCTTACTGTACAAACCTTCGGGGTCCTCCTCTTGTTGTTGCCCCTCCTCCCCTCTTCCTTCCTCATGGACTCTATCAGTACTAATTAGCAAGCATCCATCACTGACCGCAGACTAGGGCAACACAGGAGAAATCCCGTGACAACACACACCCCTGAGGATCCCAATAAGCTGGATCTTACTGGGATCCCATGGAACTAGTTCAGAACTGCCCTGTGGAGATTTCATGTAGTATCAAGAGACAAGTCAAGAGAAGCCCCTAGAGGGCATTAACCACTTTCCCCAGGGTCGTGGGCGCATTGCACCCTGGGGGCAGTAGCTCCTTTGTTAATTGCTAACACCCTTTTGCACTTTCACACTGAGCATCTGGACAGGTGGGAGGGACCTTGTTTTCCATCTCCTGTCCCCAGTGCTTGGCACACAGACCTTGGTTGATAACTGCTCGCAGAGGGTAGGAAGAAATGAGAAAATACATGCACACAAACAGTAGGCCTCTCTGGAGCAAATTATCTTGGCAGCTGAGAGAGAGAGAGCTGGTGGCGAACACATGAAATCAGGAAATAAGGCAGCCATGAAGGATGTCTCAGGGACAAGTAGAGAAGTTTCATGTGAACTATAGATGATTCCCATTAGTTTCTTGAGTCCCATAATTGTTTGGTAGTTACACAGAAGTTCGTGTTCACAGGAAGTACATTATGAGGTATTATTGTTTATAATGTGTAATTGTGGAGATTATTAAATATTTCATACTGCACAGCAAATCATTAACAGTTGTTGAGTGAAGCAGAAGAATACAATTTTTCATTACGTTCTCCGCTTATTGTGCATGAATATTTTATTTTTAAATTTTGTTCACATTTACTTATTTTGGGGGCGGCTGGAGAGATGGCAGGGGCAGGTACCACAGCGAGCCATGTTGGGCAGAGGACAGCTTACACAAGTCTCCGTGTGTGTCCTGGGGCAGTGAGCCCCTTCACCTGCTGAGCCACCTCTCCAGCCCAATTTTATTATTTCTAAAGATTTGTCCTGTATGTGTACATTTACCTGCAGGCATGAATGCATATATGTCTGTGTGCACACCTCATTCATGCAATGTCTGCTGACACCAGAAAAGGGCATTGGCTCCCCTGGCATTAGAGGTCACAGATGGTTGTGAGCTGCCACATGTGTGCAGGACCCTGGTCCTAGCTAAGAGCACTGAGTGTTGTTAATCGAGCCGTCTCTCCAGCCCCCCTAACTGCTTATCACTGATATTTAATTTTGAGATATAGTCTCAAGATGTAGCTCTGGCTATCCTGGAATTCCTTAAGTTTGGAGGGCCGGTCTTGAACTCACAGATGCACCTGCCTCTGTTTCCTGAATGCTGAGATTAGAAGGTACATGCCACCACACCTGGCTGTGTTTTGAGATTGCCCCTGTTGTGTGTGTTGCCCAGGCTGGCCTTGAACTTACAGTCCTTCTGCTTCAGCTTCCTAAATGGTTCCAGTTAGAAATAGTAACTGTGCTGCTGATTTATTTTTCTTTCTTTTTTTTTTTTGGTGAAGTGATGGGACTTGAGGCTGGGAATGGACATGGGATAGTGCACTCTATCTGGGAATGGACATGGGCTAGTGTCCTGGAAGTAATTTCCGAACAGAATGCTGGTTTGCCCCAGGCCAGGAAAGGCACCCACCTGGGTTGGTTTGGCTGCATGCTGGCCTCCCAGAAGAGGCTCTGCACTCACCAGGCTGTCCCATGGCTTCCTCCTCCAGTGTGCAAGTATGTTGCAGTGGAGTTGAAGTCCGCTTTTGAGGAAACTGGGAAGACCAAGGAAGTGATCGACACAGGCTATGGCATTCTGGACCGGAAGGCCTCCGGAGTCAAGTACACGAAGTCGTAAGTAAATGGGGATTTAGGGCCTGGCCTGCTTTTGTTTTGTTTTTTTGGGGGGAGGGTTTGGAGAATGAGGGTTGTGGTTCC